AAGTCGGGTAAGTTTCAGAGAAAAGTCGTCTGAAAATTGGCTGAATCGCGTCTACTCAGGCGTGCAAGCAATGTCTAGGAAGCTCGGACAGTTTTCAGACGCGGTTTAGCCTCGCCTTTCCATGCGGGAAAACTATGCAAAAAGGTTAATTTTGTCCGAGGGGGAAATCACTTGCGAAATGGTTCGTACACTGATAAACCAAGTGTTCAACTGCTCAACACTTGTAAGTGTGCAACCGCAAGTTCAATTCTTGCAAGTGTACAATTCAGTAGTAGCACAGTTGCAAGTGTTCGACTCGGTATTTGTGCACTTGTAAGTGTGCAACTCCTCTGTTAAACATTTCCCCCACAGTAAGCGCCCGATATAGAGAAGTGTGCAACAGGAGAGTTGAACACTTACAAGTGCACAAATACCGAGTTTAACACTTGCAAGTGTACTACTACTGAATTGAACACTTGCAAGTATTAAACTTGCGGTTGCACACTTACAGGTGTTGAGCAGTTGAACACTTGGTTTATCAGTGTACACCTTCCCCCGAAATGGTCCGAAATAAAGGTGAAATAAAGAGAAATAGAGCGAAATAGACCCGAAATAGAAGCGAAATAGTCGGTGAAATAGCAGCGAAATACCCCTGTAATACTCCGAAATAGCGCGAAATATCCTGAAATGATCCGAAATAGGCAAGAAATGACCGGAATGGCAGGAGAAATAACCGAAATGGCAGTAGAAATACCACGAAATAGCCCGTACGTTACGAACCCAAGTGATTTCCCCCTCGATTTTGTCACTCATTTGATTTATCGCTGTTCTGAACATAAATTTATCGCAAATAAACGTGCAATTAAAAGTACAAAGGGAAAGTTACCACAAACAAATGTGTTAACTTTTTCACGCGACTTTTAGTGACAAATGTATAAACCAGTTCCAGATATATAATTTTGCGATAAAAAGTTATCACATCGTATTTGTGATAACGTTCCCTTGAACTTTTCACTGCACGTCTTTTGGCGATAAAAAGTTATGACCAGGAAAGTGATAAATCGAAAGGAATCGCGAAACACGAGTTATCGCAGAAATTGGTGTTAAGTTATCAAATCCAGATAAAGTCTACTTCAAGTTAAACGCACCACCACGCGACGAACTAAAATTGTCTATTTTCGCTTTACACTAAGAACAGAGAAGTGTGCAACTGGCATGCACATTGTATAGGGTTCAACTCTATGGTACACATTTTTAGATGCTGAACTGATAATTTAAATACTTCAGTCTTCAAAAGTAAATTAGAACACTTTGAAGTATCCAAAGCTTTGTGGCCAACCCTGAAGATTCAACCCTTACAAGGTCCAGTCGGACACACATATTAGTGTGCAACGCACAATTCAACACTTACATTTTCACGCTAGTTGCACGCTTTTTCATAGTAAGACAAACACATGCAAAAGAAGAATTCGAGTAAGCTAGATGCTATGCTCACCTGCAGTATTTCACAGTTTTGCTTGTTCCCGCCGGACGTCTCTACGTCAAAAAAGACGATGTTCGAATTGTACGCCATTTCCAATCAGCTACCAACTGAAAAACAAAAAGCAAGCAAATCATTGCAAATGGGCCGCTTACAAATCTACAAATTATTTCTGCAGCTGCAACTACTGTTAAACGGCGAAATCAGCCAGCCAGCCGCAGCCAGCCGAGGGGGGGGGGGGGGGCACTCAGCGCCTCAGCGCTCACTAAAAACAATACCTGCCCCCCCCCCCCCATTTCCCCAAAAGTGGGCATGTATTGTCGAATTTTGTACAAATTTAAAAAGCAATTTGGTCACTCAATTCCGAATCAAAACGTAGGTTTATTAACCACGAAAAACGTAGGTTTATTAACTAACCACGAACGTTTCACCAAAATGTACAAAAAAAGTTAGCCAGTGAGCAAGCGAGGAGGGAAGGGTCTACCTCTTTCATAATCTTCGTACGCATACGTATACACCCCCTACGCAAAGGTAATCACTACTATAATCTTATAACAAATGATAATCATAAAAAATCAGTGATAGCCACAAAAGTTCACTAAATTTCCAAAAAAGACAGAAAATTAACTTCCAAAAGCACTGCAGATTAATCCGGTAATCATAAAGGGTCTAAGAATAAAATCGGGAATCAACAAATTAAGCACAAACCGAGGGGTGCGAAACTGGACACAACATGTGTACATCGGGAAAAACATTCAGAAACAATCACACACAATTTGACACAATTGTCCAATATATGTCACAATAAAGGGTGGCCGCTCTACCCAGTAGTTTTGAAAGCAGAGGGGAATGGGCCAGTCTGGGCCGGTCCGCGCCGAGTTTACCTTTTCAAAACTACGGAGCAGAGCGGCCACCTTGTATCTAAACGACAATCTGAAACAATCAGACACAATCGAAAACAATCTCACAAAATCGGAAACATTCACAAAATATCGCGGACACAATCATGACACCATTTTTAAAAATATGTCCCAATATTTACCAAAAAATCTGAAGCAATCGGAGACAATCATCGCCATAATCGTACCCAATCAAACACAGTCTGAATGATTGTCTAATAATGTGTACACTTTTTAGGCCAGTTCCACACCCCTCGGCATAAAACATGAGTGATAATTATGATCCCCAAAACAAATCCCAACCCAAGATTAATTTAAATAAGCATTGCATTGATCATCACCATAATCATGAACTGGTTATAATCCACGTACGCGATTTTTCGAAAGTGTGGCCCTCCCTCGGAACCCCGCCGGAACGGCACCGCGGGTTGCCTTGTGGCGATCTCAGGCGCACTCGTCGCACACAAATTTCCATCACACACTACGCCAATACGACTCAACACTACATTACAATGTCACGCCACTGTGGCCAGCGACTGACCTCTAACCTCCTGGCCGAGTCGAAACACCGCGCGCCCTTGATGCATCAGTAATTGTTTACAACATCAGACCAGAGCGCGCGTGCACACATACACACACATGCGCACACCTACGCACACACACCAACACGCGCACCCACATATAAGACGACACACTCACTCACTCGCTCTCACTCGTTTCTCACTCGCCACCAACTTCAGTTACTCGCCACCAGCCGACCAGGACGCTCGCCTCGGACCATCTCTCCGTCACCGTCCCGGCCGACCGTCATTCTGCCAGTCATCGCACCGTGGACTTCCCTCCGACCTCACCTGGACTCTACGCTTCCAGTCGGACTCCACGCCCAAGTCCACACTCAAGCTACCATCCAACATCGCAGTAGAGTTCGCAATCTTGGTTTGTAACATAACCAGTGATACAATAAAATCCTGTGAATATTCTACTGTGAATCGACGTGTCATCAATTGCCAAACACAGTACCGTTGGGAACGCCCCATAAATCTCCTACAGCCTACATTCAGTTTTTAACGCTCACATTGGCTACCTTTCAGGAGGCGGCTCACTAGAGATGACTGACACCCCCCCCCCCCCCCCTCCCCCCCCCCCCCCCCCCTCTCCCTCCGCACCCCCCTTTTCCAACGCCTGGCGAGGCAGGCTGAATGTTCGCAGGCGGCAGGGGTTTCGACGGGGTAGGCAACTCTGCACTCCTGTGCCCGCAGTCGGCACTCTGGGGGCCCCAGTTAGACATGCGTAGTATTTTAAATTCCGCGCAACGAGAAGTAACTTGCGTCAGGAAACCAGCGCCTGCTGGAAAGCCCTCGGCTCGCATTCGCGGGCTTCCAAGAATTAGCCACCTAGACAGGCTCTGCCCGCAGTTGACCAAGCACCAAGCACCCCACCTGGCGAGGCGACAGCCCTTGCAAAAAGACCGAGGAGGCCAGCAAGAGAGGCCGCAAGGAGGGGGCGCGATGGGCTGCAATCCGGACTTCGGTCAACCCGATCCGATCAATTCAACAGCGACCTGCGTGTACTGCGTAACGCGGGCGGCATTGGGCACCTCTCCGCGAGCGCTAGGATTCCGCCGGCAACGAGCCCATGCCCGTGCTATCCAAGCGCTGCAAGCTGCCACCGCAACAGCCCGCCAAACGACAGGAACCTCCGCCTCCGGGTACCTCGGAGGCGGCGCAACGCGCTGGTGCGAGAGAGACGCTCGGCTAGCCCGGGCAGCAAGAGCAAACCGCCTAGCCCGCGGCCTAGCCGGGCAGGGCAGGGCCGAGTAGGGAGGCCAAAAACAATCGTCTTCCTTTGATCGACCGACGCCCGCCCGGATTCTTAATAAGGTTTTAAGGTTTCCTTATTGTTTGAAGTGATTTTAAGAACCTCCTACAAGACCCGAGGGGTCGTCAACTCCGATATTCCTTCGTACACGGACTGATATTACTCTAATATTACTCTAATGTTACACATATTACTTGATATTCCACAATATTACCCGATATTCCAAAATATTACCCGATATTACTTGATATTACTCGATATTACTTGATATTACTCGATATTACTTCACATCAATTGCACATGCCGAGCAACTTAGCGCACTTCAGAATTGTTTCTGGTGGTGCCGCGGAAGGGTCAAACATTTCTGTTAATATTTAGAAACTGTGCGTGGTGAATCGTAGGCCTACTACACTCATAATGGCTTTTTAAAAAGACCGCCAGCCACGCCAGTTGCCGGAACCACCTGCGATACTGCACT